TTTTCTTCATTTATTAGAGAGAACAATATTTTCCTTCATGACTTTTGTTGTAAAAATAACTGTATTTGGGCCAGGTGCGGTGGCTCACGCCCGTAATCCCAGCACACTGGGAGGCCGAGGCAGGTGGATCACTTGAGGCCAGGAATTAGAGACCAACCTGGGCAACATGGTAAAATCCTGTCTTTACTAAAAATTCAAAAATTATCCAGGAGTGGTGCTGGGTGCTTGTAATCTCAGCTACTCAGGAAGCTGAAGCACAAAAATTGCTTGAACTCGGGTGGTGGAGGTTACCATGAGCTGAGATCACGCCACTGCACTCCAGCCTAGCCAACAGAGCACGACTCTGTCTTAAAAATAAATAAATAAATAATAAGTCATAAAAAAACTTTATTTGGTTATTTATATAGATTGAGGTTTAGTATATATGCAAATAGATGTGTATATATATTTGTGTATATAAGTTTTTGTATATATCTATGCACACACACCTTTACACAATCATCCATATTTGATCATTAAACTATACAAGGGAATAGAAGAAAGAAAATTTCTTAATTTCTTTCCAATAATATAATTAAGCTATTCAGTCTTATTCAAGGATGAATGTGTAGGTGTTTGTGATATCTTTTATGACGTAGAAGAGAAAAAAAAATCTGGTGTTCCGAGTTCTGAAACACAAAGTGAGCTTAAGTAGTTATATCATTGAATCTCAGTTGCTTCAGTTTCGTTAGTGTTAGGCAAATTATTACCCCATCTTGAAATATAACCAGTGGGGGATTTCTCAACAAATAAAAATATTGTTTTGATATTAGGAAGGCAAAAATGAAAAATATATCAATCACAGTTTGTTTTGTCTGCCAAACATTCATCTATCTGTAGTCCCAACCATCCATCCATCCATCCATCCATCCATCCATCCATCCATCCATCCGTCCATCCATTAAATCTTTAATGAAAACAAAACAAATGCCACCTAACATAAAGTGTTTATATCCAGAATTACTGGAAGTGAACTCACTTTCATCTCCAAGGGGAATGAGTGTACGTCTTATCAATGAGGCGTCAGGCCCTCAGTTTAGAATCTATGACTCACATCCAATACTAGTCAAAATATTTTACTACAAAATATGATTCTCCATATTATTAAGCCTATGTGTAAGCTTTTAAAATTAAGAACTATCAACATGATGCATCTACATGAAGGGAATGTAGAAGAGTTTAATGAGAAAATTAATGACATGCATAAATATACTTAGAACTAGCAAGGAAAAATACAGATCAGGTCTACAGTCCTCATTTTTGCAACCCTTCACAATCCTGTATCTCCTATTTATTCTCTGCAATATTACCTAGTCTCTGTTATCTTCACCTTCCATCCTTGGGTAAAATTATTTATCTGGTGGGGTGATGTTGGCCATCATAAAGCCGCCTTCTTTTAACGTTTTCTTTTGGACGTGTTACTATTAGAAGACATGTCAGAGAATTTTCTGGGCATCATGTTTCCTGATTCTGTTTAAAAGCAGCACTTTTATTATTTTGCACAGTCATAATCAGTAACTGAAGATAGTACGTTGTCCTGTTTTACCTGTTTTTTTTTTTTTTGTAAGATAGAGATACTGAAATGGTAAAGTATCTGCCTGATTTTAAATGGAACTGATTTTGTAGCATTTGGCAGGAGCATTTCTCTATTACACACCAAATGCTCTAAAACAAAGAACCTAGAGCCATGAGCTAGGTTTGAGAAGGCAGTATCTGCAAACAAGTTACCTAAGTACAATCATAAGAGAGGAACTCTTCCCAGGGCATGTATTATGGTGTTGCAGGACTTTTCCATTGTTCAACTACAGATGGGATCCTTGTCACATGGCCATGAAAATTTAGGTTTGCAGATTATTTGAAGGATGAGTAAAGCAGCGTTTTATTGGGTGAAAAGGGAAAAACAGGGTAACGTGCACCCTCCCCATAGCCAGAGGCTCTGCTGGTGTGCTTCCCGTCTTGCAGTTTGAATTCTAGGCTCCACCCAGGAAGAGGAGGAGCCAGGCTCCTCCCTGCTGCAAATGAAGTGAACTTCTGTGACTCCCTTCCAATGTGAGCTTCCCGGTGCACAGGTGGGTCAGAGACTCTGCAGGGAGCCCTTCCCACCCGGCTGTCTCAATGGTAATAAGAGAACAAGAAGCACCATATGGTTGTTATTCAGTGCATAGAGAACATGTTGTCAGGCAACCACCCCTATTGCATGCTGTCTCTCCTCTTTGGTATTGTAATTGAAATATCTGTAGGTTATTCCATGTAAGACCACCTTCCTTTGTGGGATGGAGAATATTTTTGCAGTAAAGGTATTTATCTTGATTAGAAAAAATGCTTGATGGAATACTGTGGAAATATATATGGTATTAAAAAGACCATGCATAGCTGTAGAGGAAGAAACCTGTAAACTAATTTTTTAAATATCAGATCTACATTATGTTTGCCCATTGAGAACAACTTGCATTCATCTATACAGTGGAAAATTGATTTACAATGAAATTACCACTAGATATAATTTATTCTTGTTGTATTGGTTTCTGCCGAAGGAAAATTAGGCTTGTGCCAATGAGCATGACTCCACGAGTAAGATACTCATGTAGCTGCCCTCCATCCAAGTGTTAAGAGACCCAGTGACCAATCACAGGGGACAATTGGAAAGATAGTGTTTAGATCCATATGGCAAGTCATCCTGACCGTTCTACTATTATGTCTCACCCACAGAAAAAATTTTTGATGAGCACTAATATAAGAAAAAGCATTATCATGCTCTAGGACTATAACGAAAGAATTATCCACACATGTCTTCTCCGAACCCCCTCATAATAAAATTCCCAGTGGACTCTCTACGTTAAGTGCTGTTATCCACCCAAAACATTAGCTATTGCCACAAATAAGTCTCAATCAACAAGACCAGGCTATTTTTTTTTCCAAGCAATGTATCATGGTACTTAAATTCTGTCCTTGTGATTTATTTTCTCCACGCCAAAAGACATTAATAATCAATGAACCAGTAAATAGTCTCTCCTTCTTCTGAATAACAAAAATTCAATTTTAACTAGACATATTTCTTCCCAGAATATGGCCTTACATCCAGACATGTCACATTTTGGGGGGCTTTCATTTCTTGTAGCATTCTCTATTTGCCTGTAGACAAGGTGGATAGTCTACTTCTGTGCCAAGTCTTTAGAGCAGCAATTGGAGTTTTCTGGGTAGAATTGCTCTTTCCTGGTACCTAGCATTACGTGGAATCCAATTCTCACCTTTGTATGCAGATGTCTGCGCAATCATATTCTGTCCCCTGGGGATTCAAAATCACAGGTACCAAGGTGCTTAGTGAATCTAGCAGAGTTGTCTCCAGGAAGTAAACAGGTTTAGTTTTATCTGTCTCCTGTGGATATTCTTTATATTTGTCTCCTCGATAATTTTTTTGGCTTTTGATATCAGCAATGTGCTTATTGTTTTAAAATTATTATACTTCCTTTTAGTTTCATTATTTTGGATTATTATTTGTGGTGTAATTTTTGGCTCTTTCCAGCAAATCTCTCAATTTTCAGTGTAAATTTAAACTCCATTTATGTCATGATTTAAATTATTGTCTTTTTTTGGTTATAGAATTTTTTTCTTTCTCTCTCTGCTTCTTTCTCCTTCCTTCCTTCCTTCCTTCCTTCCTTCCTTCCTTCCTTCCTTCCTTCCTTCCTTCCTTCTTTCCTTCTTTCCTTCCTTCTTGCTTTCTTTCTTTCTTCTCAAGATGTATAGTCTTCTCTAAGAACCAGAGCTCTTTCTGACTCTGTACAAAAAAAGGAGGTATGTAGAGGATGCTATAATTCCATAAATTTTAGACGAAACTAAAAAAATTCATAGCTTTTATAAAGGGCTATGTTCTATATAAAATTTAAACAATTGACCAGCTGGTAGGAAGTGGAACTTCTCAAATTCCTTTCCCCAGCTTTTATTACAGAAATTTTTGGGAAGTTGGAATTATTTTGATTATCCTAAGAGGAGTGATAAATGTTCTTAAGATTTAATTTTCAAGGAATTGAAATTGTTAGATTCACATTTGAAGTTATGTTTGTCTTCTTTTTCAAAGGTAGAATCCATGGCCTATTTCTCTGTATGGGTGCTAGGATGTGGGTGTGGCTTATCTTTCACCTGCTGACGAGTAAATAAAAAATGCATGAGAAATGATTGTTAACTCCTCCTCTCTTTTCCCTTCCCTTTTGAAAATTCTAGTTAGAAGTCACATGAGTTTTCTGCTTGCCTGTTCATTCTTTCACTTCATTTCAAATTTAGTACTTGAAACTAACCACACTTATTAAAGCAAAACCACTGGTCAGATAATGTCATTCTCTCCAGACTGTCTCAATCTGTTGTAAAGGAAAGAGTTAAGGCAGAAAAGCACATGAAATAGCCTTGTGAAAACTCAGCAATCTTTGGATAAAATCTTAATAAATGTGAAGTCTACAAATTTTAAAGTTTGTTTTATTCAAAAACATTTTTTACAGTGTTTTCTTTCTATACATTTTTTATTTAGAAGTTTAAAGCTTTTGGAAATGAATAGTATTTCTGAGAATTATGCAAGTGTCACAGTTTTGTTCTTTTTGTTAAGAGTCTTTTAATAAGGAGGTTGAGTTTACTGAGAATATAAATTTTGTTCAACTCTAACTCATTCATTAATTCAACACATATTTGTTCAGTGCTTGGTAATTTTAGGGGCCTGGGAGTAGAACCATGGTGAAATCAAAGTCTCCTTTCCTTCATGGATCTAACTCCACAGAGATTGGATTTGGGTGTTAGTGATGTCACTGGGGGGATGAGAAGGTGCAGATTCATTACCACCTTTTACTTCCAGCTCTTTGGGCTCACACACTACATAGTTTCGACGATCATGTGATTATCCATGTCATAATATTATTAGTTTGTCTACACATACATATACTCACACAATAATATTAAATGAGTGCCGAAACCAAATATCATTTATCTATCATCTTTATTTTTGGAGGTAAGATGGTGGCTAGTACATGATAAGTACTTAATGAACGTTCATTGAAAATTAATGGGCTAGAACCAAAAAACTTCATTGGAAAGATTAATCACTACTATTTAAATTTTGTTTTGCACACCATTTGCCCTCTACATTTTAGTTTAAGCTTCATTTCAGTTCAGGTTTAAAGACCAAAGGTGTGTGGCAGCAATGCTCAGTGCAGAGAACCACTGCCAGAGCATCAGCTGAGCTGAGACAGATGTAATGGATCATGGCCTTGAGGAAGCAGATGAACACAGAAGAACTCGGTGTAATGAGAATCTGCAGAGCATAACGTCAGCAACATGCATTGGATACAAGCTGCAAGAAATGAAGAAGCAGTAAGAGATGCTGGGAAAAATCCCTCTTTATAGCAGTTTTATGATAACTTCGCTCTTGATTTAAGTTTTAAATTTTGAAAGGAATATTTTTAAAGGGACTAATTGCAAACAATTCTGCCTGTTGACATTTATCTTTAAGAATTATTCCTACTTAGAATTCTTTTAAAAAATTATTCTGTCTATGCAGGTTACAAAGCCTGCTATTGTTACTTGCACTTTATTTACAGATAGCTTCAGAAATTCATCTTGTAAAACATTAAGAGATAGAAGAACATAGACAATAAATATACATTTTCCAATACTTTAAGGCCAAAACAGATGAAATATGTTCGGAATTATTTGTATTTGCTCTCTTCTTTTGTTGAAGAAGATATATTTCTAATTGTGGCTAAGGTTGAATAGAATTTACATTTTATTTCCTAAATGTGTAGTTTTAAAAATTATTAATTTACCATTGTTTGTTAAAGAAAGTACTTTCTGTCTCTTGGTAGATAAATTTTCTTCACACTAACAATAAAAACCACTTCAAATTATGTAAGAATTATGTAATTTTTTACATAATTCTTACAGAGTTTTTCTTTAAATACAAATGTTAAACACAAATTATTTAAGAAACCTTGAATGAAAAGTACTGTTAAATTTCTCCATCAACAAAAATGTCCTTTTTATATATATTTATATACAATATATATTTATATGAAATTTATATATATTTATATGTACATTATATATTTATATAAAATTATATATTATACATAAATTATATAAAATATATAAAAATTACATATATAATTGTATATAAATATATATGATTTATATGTAAAGATATATAATTTATATATAAATATATAAACAATATATATTTTTATATTATATATAAATATGTATATATTTTTTCAAGTAAGGAGAAAATAAAGAGGAAAGTAGATATGAAGAGGAAAGGCCAGCTAATGAATGTATATAGAAAACCCAACAAGAGGCCGGGCGCGGTGGCTCAAGCCTGTAATCCCAGCACTTTGGGAGGCCGAGGCGGGTGGATCACGAGGTCAGGAGATTGAGACTATCCTGGCTAACATGGTGAAACCCCGTCTCTACTAAAAATACAAAAAACTAGCCGGGTGTGGTGGCGGGCGCCTGTAGTCTCAGCTACTTGGGAGGCTGAGGCGGGAGAATGGTGTGAACCCGGGAGGCGGAGCTTGCAGTGAGCTGAGATCCGGCCACTGCACTCCAGCCTGGGAGACACAGCGAGACTCCGTCTCAAAAAAAAAAAAAAGAAAAGAAAACCCAACAAGCAAGATAACACAACATTTAATAACTAGAAAGAAGGATTAATATAAGAAGAGCATATAGGAATTTAACAATGAACAAAGGAAAGGAAGGAAGGAAGGAAGGAAAAGAAAGGAAGAAAGGAAGAAAGGAAGAAAGGAAGAAAGGAAGAAAGAAAAGAAAGAAAGAAAGAAAGAAAGAAAGAAAGAAAGAAAGAAAGAAAGAAAGAAAGAAAGAAAGAAAGAAAGAAAGAAGGAAGGAAGGAAGGAAGGAAGGAAGGAAGGAGGGAGGGAGGGGGAGAGAGAGAGAAAGAAAAGAAAAGAGAAAAGAAAAGAAAGAAAGAAAGGAAAGAAAGAAATGAAAGGAAGGAAGGAAGGAGAGGGGAAAGGGAGAAAATCTTTGCTACAATTATTCATAACCTCAATAATTTTCAGGATGCAGTACGTTCCTTATTTGAAACGGTCCTATTTGAATCTGTGGATCATTCCATCTCTTAAAACTTTAAAATTGGCTTAGCTAACACAAAGTCATTGAGTTACGTCTAAAAAGACTTTCCCTTTCTGGGTTCTGATGTGTCTGACATGTTTATCACATCAGTTTTCTTCAATAACTCTTCTTCTCTGCTCACTCTGTATAATTTATGGTCATATGGTCTTGGTATCCCATTACAAATAAATCCAGTGACAATCCTTAAATTCATGTCTGCCACTGTGGCATCACAAAAGTAGTTCTTTTTGGCCATGATCATCAAAATATTACATGCAGGTGCAGTTTAACTCCACTACACACATTTTCACAGGTACCATTTCGATTCAGGTACTCACCTTTCCTGATCTGGAATCCCTCCTTATGATTCTCCTCATTTTCATGTTTTCCAATCAAAAAAATATTTTTAAGATCCGTCCAATTTATCCTACAACCACTTTCAGTCTTTTGGTGTATTGTCATTATTTCCAGAATAAACTCAATTTTTGTAGCATAGTATATAAAATCTCCATTAAAAATTTGTGACTCTTTTTCTAATCTTAGTTCCTATAATTTCTTGCACTATTCTACTCTTTCATTCTCTAACTTTATCGGACAAGTTACAGTTCTGTGAAAGAAAAAAATGCAAAAGAAAAAACTAATGATCTTTTTCATAATGAAGAAATTAACCTCCTTAGAACTTCCACATGATAGTTTATGTAACCATGGATGTTCAACAATTTGTCATTTTAAGAATTGTAAATTAATTAAATCCTGCACTTTGAACCTATTTAATGATTCAGAACCTATTTAATGATTTGAACCTATTTAATGAGAAAGCATACTTAGAAACAATAGTGTGTCAGGGGAATTAAGTAAATTCGTATGTCTCTGTTAACATAGCTGAGTAATACTATTTCCTCTTATTGGGAACTGCAGAGAATACAAATCATGACCTCTCTTTCAGGGTTTATTCTGATTCTAGCGATTAATATGTTAGAACATAGAATAAAAGGGAATTCTTTATATTAGTAAGAGTTTCCACTGAATTATTTGCAAAATTGTAAATAGAGGTATTATATATTATTGTATAAACATTTAATTATAAAATATAGGTCACTGTTTATGCTGTACTTTCCTAAAATAACATCCATTAAAAATACAATACTGATTCTATAATAAAACTTGCTTCCGTTAATGAGTTGACCAACTTTGTAATCGCAAAATTGTCAAAGAAATTGAGTAAAAATTCCCAGAAGAGATTATGAAAACATGAATGTTTTTTCATCTCCCATAGCATTTTAAATATTACAAGCCATTTCTCTTTCAAATAAAAGTGAAAATATTATGAAATGCTTAAAGAAAGTATGGCAAAGTATAATCTAAAAGATGTGCTTACCTCATGCTGAGGGAATGCTGAGGTAACTATAAAAACTTTTGCTTTTTTTAAAAATAATTTTTTTAGGTTATCAATCTACTCCTGGTTTGAGTATTGTAGAATTATTTCATCATTTGATATGATTTTTCACACTTACACTGTCATTTAACTAAGTATAAGGGCGTGAGTCCTATTCTTTTGCCTTTACATCCATGACAAACTAAATTGGTTTACTAATGTTCCCTGGAGAAGGCAAAAAAGAAGGGACTTGTTTTACTCATAACATCCCAACAATACATAACTCAAGGCAACTATTAATTTCATTTTTTATTTTGATTTTTCTTCCTTTTCCAATGCCAACTTCCAAGGTAATCATATGCATAAATAATACTTGTTACAAATATTAAGATTCTCAAAAAATTATTATCCATAAAATTATGAATGCTAAATATTCAAAAAATAAATCTAGAATAGCCATAATCAGAGATATCTGCTTGAAAAGATCTCCACTTTCAAATGTTGATCCAAAATATTCATTGAATGCCAGCATAGAATATGTTAGAATATTTAATGTAGCAATCATATTGCATTCAAAGAAACTTCTGACCTTTAGAATTTAGCTGGCCAGAACTTGAAGACTGCTTTTACACTCAAGCTAATAAAAGTTTTTGAAGAAAACATTGTGAATTTTATATTTTTATAGCTGAGAAAAAAATTCTGGAAATAATGTGATTTATTTTAATAACTAAAAACATTGAAAGATTTTAATATTGAGTATTCTTATTAACACAAATGACTTATTATCCTCTGGGTATATCCCCAGTAATGGGATGGCTGGGTCAAATGGTATTTCTGGTTCTAGATCCTTGAGGAATCACCACACTGTCTTCCGCAGTTGTTGACCTAGTTTACAGTCCCACCAACAGTATAAAAGTGTTCCTATTTCTCCACATCCTCTCCAACACCTGTTATTTCCTGACTTTTTAATGATCACCATTCTAACTGGTGTGAGATGGTATCTCATTGTGGTTTTGATTGCATTTCTCTGATGGCCAGTGATGATGAGCATTTTTTCATGTGTCTGTTGGCTGCACAAATATCTTCTTTTGAGAAGTGTCTGTTCATATATTTGCCCACTTTTTGATGGGGTTGTTTATTTTTTTCTTGTAAATTTGTTTGTGTTCTTTGTAGGTTCTGGATGTTAGCCCTTTGTCAGATGAGTAGATTGCAAAAATTTTCTCCCATTCTGTAGGTTGCCTGTTCACTCTGATGGTAGTTTCTTTTGCTGTGCAGAAGCTCTTTAGTTTAATTAGATCTCATTTGTCAATTTTGGGTTTTGTTTACATTGCTTTTGGTGTTTTAGACATGAAGTCCTTGCCCATGCCTATGTCCTGAATGGTATTGCCTAGGTTTTCTTCTAGGGTTTTATGGTTTTAGGTCTAACATTTAAGTCTCTAATTCGTCTTAAATTAATTTTCGTATAAGGAGTAAGGAAGGGATCCAGTTTCAGCTTTCTACTTATGGCTAGCCAGTTTTCCGGCACCATTTATTAAATAGGGAATCCTTTCACCATTTCTTGTTTTTGTCAGGTTTGACAAAGATCAGATGATTACAGATGTGTGTTATTATTTCTGAGGGCTCTGTTCTGTTCCATTGGTCTATATCTCTGTGTTGATACCAGTACCATGTTTTTTGGTTACTGTAGACTTGTAGCATAGTTTGAAGTTAGGTAGCATGATGTCTCCAGCTTTGTTCTTTTGACTTCGGTTTGTCTTGGCAATGCAGGCTCTTTTTTGATTCCATATGAAATTTAAAGTAGTTTTTTTCCAGTTCTGTGAAGAAAACCATTGGTAGCTTAATGGGGATGGCAT